TAAGATACCTTTAATTTGTGGTAAATTTTCATTTTAAATGCAGGCTTATCACATAAATAAAAAGACTGATTGATGCGTTTAAGAATTGAAATTAAAAGGATAAAAAGATGGCCAAACTTAGAAAAGAGATGCTAGTACAGTCCAAACCAGAACACTGTTCGGTAATTGGGTCATATCTAGAGTTGTAGATCTTGGATTTAGGTCTATTTTTATATGGATGGAAAGGTAAGACATAGGCCTACAACTTTCATGGGAGCTCAAGATTTAAAAAGGTCATTTTCAAGTCTAAATTTTAGCAACAACGAAGAAGTCTGAATCTGTCCTGTAGCTCAAACACTGTTAAGTATTTGGTTTATATCTAGAGTTCGAGAAGTCCAAATAACCTTACTTTTTTTCCTTGGAAAGCTGAGACAATTTCCTAAAACTTTTATATTTTTAAGTGGTCCAATTCTAACATTGTTAATGATATTTTAGGCAAACAAGAAAAAAATAAAGATTTTCACCAAGTCAAAAGTTGGCAACCCACTTATTAATTAGTTATCAAATCAATAGTTTTCAATTTTGACCTATAAAAGGAGGTATTTACCATACATTTAGACATCTTAGTTTCCAGATCAAGATCATGATCTTGCTCTCTCTCTTTGTATTTTTGTAATGCTTACGTTTTGCTTTCATTAATATCAAGTTTATGCCTTTCATTTTCTTTCCTTTACTTAGTTAAACTTTTATCTTATTTATGTTTTTATTTTTTTATTTATTTTTTTCTTTCATTATGTTTAGTTAAGTTTATTTTGTCAAGGTAAAAATGTTACACTAATGATGTAAGAATAAGTATAATATAAATTCAACATGGATCTTAATGTTTGATAGTAACATGTTTTATATTTGTTATCTTGTTCACTTTTAATACTTTGCTTCTTAAATGACTAATTTATATTTGTTATCTTGTTCACTTTTAATACTTTGCTTCTTAAATGACTAATTTAGATTTTTATTGTATAACACTTGGTACAACAAATACTTGACACTTTCATAGCCAATACTATATGATATAACTGACACCAATACTATGAAAGGAACTTGATTTATTGTTAACATAAGTTATAATTATGAATGCTTGACAACATTTACAAGTATTAGCATTAATCGAATAAAATAACTAATATAATCATGTTAACAATTTATAATCTGATTGGAACCTCCTTTGTGTGTGGTTTTCAATTGAATAATAAGAGTTTATTGGCATACCATTAGTGGATCCTTTAACTTGATATTTGTTGTTATTATTGTTTAATCCTTACATTAATTTTCTATTTTAAAGTTCTCATTAAATTCTTTTTATTATTATTATTGTTATTGTTATTGTTATTGTTATTGTTATTGTTATTGTTGTTGTATTATTGTTATCTATAATTTATACAATTAACCTCTCTGTGGTTCGACTCTAGTCTTGCCGGGTTATTTATTACTTCGACACTCCTGTAATTGAGAGTAGATATCAATCTTTTAGTCGTGTCAGATATATTGTTAATTTAGATAAGATTTGTCTCGTCTTGCCTTGTTAGAATCTCTCATTCTCGTGTGAAACTCAATAAAATACAAGTATGTTATAATTGCTTTTTCAAATTTAGGTATCGAAATTTGTTGATAGAGCGGGTCTGCAAACTCGCGTGTCTAACTACAAACATAGGTGAGAAGGCTCAAACCCTTACCCTAAAGTCTGCAAACTCGCACGCGAGGGCTGTATATCCTGGCGGGGGGTGAAGACTAGCGTGAATGTGCTATATAACCGCGTGAGTGGGGTCTGTAGACCTAAGCTAGAGGGTCTGCAGGCAAACATAGGCAAGTGGGTTTACAAGCCCGTACCCTACGATTTGCACACCCACGTGTAAGGGCTACATACCTGGGTGGTGGACGCAGACTAGAGCGAGCGGGCTGCTGGACCACACTCCTAGGTGCACACACGTTTGTCGGGTCTCTTCTAAGCTGCTCCAGGGTTCTGCAGCAAGTCAACCTACCCTAGACTTGGCAGGCGAGTGTGTAAACTTGAAAGCCTAGGATTTGCAAAAACACGCGTTGGATCCTGCATCAGGACCCAATTCTCTTGAGTTCGGTGTCAGGATCCTAGGTTTTTGGTTTTAAGTTTCTAAATATAATTATTTGTATTATAAATATATTTATTTATCTTATAATTAAAAGTATTGGTATAAAAATATTATTATTTTTGTTATAATTAATATTAAAATACTTTTATTTGTATTATAAATATCATTATTTTTATTGTAGTTAAAATCATTAATATAATAATTATTAAATTTGGAAAACTATTATTAATATTGAAAAACAAAAATATATTTCATTTGAAGGGTAAAATTATTATTATTATTATTATTAAATTTGGAAAAGAAAAATAATAAATTTGATTTGGAGGGATTAAAAACTATAAAAACTTATGTCAGACGAGTTTAATATTATTATTAATATTAGAAATATTATTATATTCATTCATATTATTAAATTTGAAATAAATATTATTAGTATAAAAAAATATAGAATTAATTTGAATGGCAAAATCAATCATTATTATCATCATCTTGGGTTAGGGATCCCCTTTTAGATCCAAAAAACTTAGGGTTAGAAAGGGTGACTCACCCAAATTGCTTGGATATAGTAGGAGCACAAGCCTAAATCTCTTGAGTATTGCAGCTCCACCTGACCTAATTCTCTTGGGTTCTATATTGGGATTTAATTCCCTTAGATGCATCTTCAGGACCCAAGGTTGATGAGTCATGTGTTAGGACCTATTTCTTTTGGGTTCTGTGTACGAACCCAAGGCTAATGAGTCTTACTTCATAACCCAAATCTCTTAGGTCAGGCATGAGGACCCAAGATTAATGAGTTCTATTTCAGGATCCATTTCTCTTGGATTCGGTGTTAGAACCCAAGATTCTTGGGTCTTAGGTTTCTAAATATAATTATTTGTATTATAAATACTATTATTTTTATTATAATTAATATTATTCATAAAATAATTAATAAATTTTAAAAAAACCATAGATTTAATTTGAAGGGTAAAATAAAAAATTATCACCATCATCATCATCATTATTATTATCAATAATAAATTTGAAAAAAATATTATCGATATGGAAGAAAAACCATATATTAGATTTGAAGGGATTAAAAACTATGAAAACTTGGGTCAGACAAGTTTGATATTATAAATATTATTATATTTATTAATATTATTAAATTTGAAATAAATATTATTTTTATAAAAAATATATAATTGATTTGAAGGGTAAAATCAATTATTATTATTATTATTATTATTATTAACTTGGGTTAGATATCCCTTTCCAAACCCGAAAAATATGGGGTTGGAAAAAGGTGTCTTATCCAAGTTGTTTGGGTGTTGTATGAATGCAGACCCAAATCCTTTAAGTTTTGTAGCTTTACCTGATCCATGACTATGAATTCTATGCTAGGATCCAATTCTCATGGGTCTTGCATTAGAACTCAAATTTTTTAGGTCAATTGTCTAAATAGATCTTAATACCGGATTTAACTTTCTTGGGTTTTTAACTTTTATGAAAATAAAAAGTAAACCTGTGCAATATGACTAGTAAAACAACTAAAATAACATTCATTTTTACTGTTGAAAAATTAAACTTATAATTTACTATTCATTTACAATGTATTTTTATCATTTTTTATGTTCTAATTCTTATATTTTAAAAAGTTTAAAATTCATCATGTAGTTTATTTTCTTTACATTTTAGTTTTTGAATATTTAGAAATGAAAGAGAAAGTCATCCAAAGAAGATGCCAAGAGAAAAAAATGGATGACTATTTCTATGATGAAAGACAAATGATCTTAGTGTATAGGAATTCATCTTTACTAGGGCTGTTTCATGAAAGTGGTTTTGAGTCTTTACTAGTACAAAATAAAAAAAAAGTTTTGGAAAATTTTTCTCATATTAATTTTGAGATTTTAGTAATATTGAAAGGTATTTTGAGGGTAGTTAATCCGGTTATTGAGATTTTTATAATATTTTTAAATAAAAAATTAAAATTTTAATATCTGCATGGAACCTTGACTTTTTCGGTCACCAAGATTCACCTAAGATGTCCGAGAATTTGAAACAAATGACGTGTCATTGCTTGTAAATAAAAAAAGAAAAGGTGGATGATGCTTTTTTTTTTTTAATTGGCACATGAGCTTTTTCTTCTTCTTCTTTTTTTTTTTCTTAAGGTCAGCCAAACGATCGTGGCCTTCCATTGTATTGTTTAGAGCACCTGACTTTTCACGTTTTTTTATTTAACTGTTTGTTTAATTTAATTTTAGAATAAAATGCTTTTTAATTAAGAGTATTACAATGACACTTTAAAAACCATCCAATTATGGCTTAATTTAGAAATAAGATTTAAAATTTTATTTTAATTTTTCAATTAATTTATAAATTTTCCTGTATAAATTTAAATTTAATGCAAGGTTTTGGTTAAAGAAATATACTTTCCTTTAGCGTTGACCTAAATCATTTGCATTCTTGAAAATGTTTTATTTTAATTATGTTAGGTTCTTATTCAATAAATCATGCAACATAAATATTATTCTTTAATAAATCACGATGCGAAAAGTATAATATTTTTTTGTTTTTTAAATAAATATTATTCTTTAATTACTAATATGTATTTTATTCAAGCTTTTTAATTCCGAAATTACATCCTTGAAGAAAGAATTTAAATTTAATTGTGACTCAAATAAATTCATTCAATTGCATCCTTCAGTTTCAATATGAGCTTTTAATTCGAAAAATAATAGAAAGAATTTGAATCATTTATAAAAATAATATTCATACTCTACTCGGAGTGTGGTCTTCGGTGAAGAAGAAAGAATTACCGGTGCTGGGCAGGAAAAGTAAATTACGAACGAAGACAATCCAAATATTATTATTATAAAAATAAAAAAACATGAATCGATCTCAGACGACATGGCACTCAGAAGCGACAAGTCATTCACTCGCAAAAACTCGTCAAAAATCTATGGCACCACCATAAACGTCGTTTAATCTTTCCCCATGTCTAGTCATTCTCTCGTTGGCCCGCCCCCGCCCCCGTCACGGCCACCGCCACTGTATGCACACCCGTAATTGGATATTACCTCGGAAGGCCAGACTCTGCAATATCTGGAGCAACAATGGCAGCTACGAAAGACCCACAAATTACAACTCTTAAAACAATAGAAGCAGCCTTAAAACTTATAGACACCAAAAAGGACAACCTTAAAAAGGCCTACGATGATCTCCAATCCCTCTCTTCTCATCTCCTCTCCTCTTCCTACTCTCTCTCATGGGCCGACCTCGATTCTCACTTCTCCTCCGTCCAAGACAACCTCAATGGCCGCCTCCTTCTCCTCCAATCGAGTCTTGAATCTCTCGACCCGGTTGCGCCTTGTCATTCGTTGTTGGGTGCTTCTGAGCAAGAATCACCAGCGCCTTCTAACCCTCGGTGTCTGGGACGAGTCGACTCTGAGGTGAGTCGCTCCGAGTTGAAACAATCAACAACCCTGACTTCTAACACAGTGGACCCATCCAGGTCTGATTTGATGTCCCTGTGTGAGAGGATGGATGTGAAAGGATTGAGGAAGTACATGAAGCAGAACGCAAGCAAATGGGGTGAGATCCGGGACAGGCTCTCGGGTGCAATGTCGGTTGCCCCTGACCCTGGATCATTTGTTTTGGATGCAATGGAAGGATTTTATTCATCAAAAGCTAACTCGAAAGGCGACAAGGATACTGAATTGTGTCGTTTAAGGAGGACTTGTTTGGATTTATTAGAGGCCTTGGCAAAAAATAAGCCAACTTTGAGCATGGAAGTGAAGGAAAGAGCTAAAAAGTTGGCTTTGGAGTGGAAAAGAAAAGTGAGCTTGAATGGGGAGAGCCCTTTAGAGGCACTGGGGCTCTTGCATTTGTTAGCAGCTTACAATTTGGAGAATGAGTTCGATGTGGGTGAACTTGTGGATTACTTTGTTATCGTTGCTAGGTTCAGGCAGGCTGTAGTTCTGTGTCGAGCTATTGACTTGGGAGAGAAAACTGCTGGTAAGATTGTGTTGGTTTAGATTATCAATTGAGTTGTTTATGTGCACGTTTGAGTTTATTTTGTCTATGTTTGATGGTTATGATTGTATTCAGTGTTTATGGTGATGCATTGATAGACATCGGTGATGGCTTTGAGCTGTTGGTTTGTCCTTTTAGTTGAATTCTTTTGTGATTGTCTGGACCGCTGCGTTGACAAAACGTTATTATGGGGTAGAGCTTGAGCATAGATCTCAGAGTTAAGTACAGATTCTAGTCAGGTTTACAAAATTACACTATAGGATCGATTACAAGTATAGACTACAGCGAGGTTTTAGTTTTGGTGCTTGCACTAATAAAGCTGAGCATTATAAGAATCATGTGCTTGATGCTTCTAAGCTACTAGAACCATAGGCCTTCTACTTGTTGACTTTGCTGGAGCCATGTGAACAAAGCAACTGGCTAGCTGAAATTCTTTAATGTGTTATGCTTAATCCTTTCTTCGAAAGAATCTAGAGAAATTGGAAAAAGAAAACCCATCAAATTTTGAGACTACGGACAAAATGGGAGTGAACCAATGAGGGGTTGGTTAGCAGTGAAACTAAAAAAGCACAAGCTATTTTTGCTCTTATGTGATCGATTGTTTTCTTTCAGTAGTGAATGTAAAGAAGTATCTCTTTGTTTTTTTCCCCTGTGGGATGGAAAATTCACAGCTGGTTTTTCACACCTGATATGGTCACAGTTTTGCAGCAAACTTGTAATGGATAAGCTTACCTTTTGCTTTTGGTGTCTGGCCAACCAATTCTTGATCATTGCTTAAACTATGAGTTGGCATAATTCATTTAATCAGTGAGTGGCTTAATTCAACAAACATATCTGTTGATCAGCAAAATACATGTTGGATTATGGTTTTATTTATTTATTTATTTTTGGAAGGCAAGCAATGAAGAGCACATGTTCATGTGCTGTCCCCTTGGGATAGAGTTTTGATTGAAGCTTTTATGCTTGCCTTGTGCTCTGCAGATCTCATTCAAAAACTTATAGACAGTGGCAAACAGTTTTTGGCTGTCAAATTTATCTTTGAATTTGGACTGGTTGACAAGTTCCAACCAGTTCCTCTCTTGAAGGCTCACCTGAAGGAGTCCAAAAGGCTCACCAAGAAAATTTGCCAGGATGGAAAGAACTCTATCAATCAACAGGTGGTTCTGCATCCCTTCATTTTTGGTCTAGCTTTTAGAGCTTGAAGTCATCAGTTGTCCTGTACATAACCAAGTTATCTTGCAGAATGAGGCCAGATCCAGAGAAGTTAAAACGCTGAAATCAGCACTTGTACTCATTGATGAGTATAAGCTCGGATCTGAGTACCCACAGATGGACCTCGAGAAGCGAATTGAGATGCTAGAGAAGCAGAAGGCAGCTGCTGCATCTGCCGATGACGAGCCTTCTCATCAGCCAAAGAAGCAGCAGCAGGCTGGAAGCAAGCGTCCTCGAACTTCAGCAACAGCAGTCCAGAACAGTAACAATGGTTCCAATCCAGCCATTCCTCCATTCAAACAATCTCACGTGCAGCCAGCAAGTTTGTTGCTTGCAGCTGGGCCGTATGGGTCAGTGGGTTCTATTTCTCCCGCCATTCTTTATGCAGCCCCACCAGCTGGGCCGTATGGTTTGGCAAGAGCTGGTACGGGATTCCCAGGGAACCCAAGGTCTGCTTTGGCTCCTCAATACTTTCCAGAATCGCATGTGCCATCTGACCATTATGATAGAGCAGCTGCTTATGGTGGATATGATTTGCCGCTCAAATATCACCCAGGTTACTATCCTCAGTAGTGTTGGTTATCAAAAGCCAAGCTTTGCTTTTTTAATCACCACGGAATTAGAAAAGCAGTCAAATTGGGTGGTTAGCTTTGCGACGTGGGGTGCTTGTGAGTTTTACTTTTTATATATATATATATATATATATAAGAGACTAATTATATTTTGGTGCTGATAATCCTTTCATTTTGCATAATTAAGTTCATTCTCCTGCGTTTGCGTGATAATAATTTCTATGTAAGAAACATGGTCCAAGTTAGTGAATTACGTGCCTTCGTTTAACGTTCAAATAGTCTCCCAGGCCTTCTCTCAATAAAAGCTGAATGGTTTTTACACTCAAATCAACTCAGATTTGTTTAGAATTATTTTTTATATATGATATAGACTATTTGGTATCTTGAGTTTCTTTTCTTTTCTTTTTCCTTTTTTTATGGGAATTTATTTTTTTTCGTAATCTTATTATAGGTTTCCGTACTATGCCAACACTAATTAATATGATTTATTTCTCTTGTATATTTCATAGGCTAATTTCTTCATTTACATATTCAAGTAATCTGTGTTAGATTCATGCATTCGTTGTTAATCATGGGTAGTTATGGTTTGGTGCAATGCCACGAGTGCAAGGAGACTTATTATAATACTGCCTGTATTCTAAAAAATAACTAAAACAAAAGTAAACAGTATTTATCACCGCTACACCTTTAGAAATCATGAATCAGAATTAAATAAGCGCCGTTGATTGTCCATCATGAATATCCTTTATTAATCAAATCTCTCAAAATTATAATATCATGAACCATAATAATTAAGATAAGATATACATGTTAGCACTTAATTTTCCTCGGTCCAAATAGTTAACGTGTTATAGGTGAATACTAGATAATTGATATGTACTATGCTTTGGATTTAATCAAATTTTTCTTAAGCATAAAATAATAATAATTAGATATTGCTAATGTTTTTTTCTAATAAAAAAAATAAATCGTGTGAAGGTTAATTCAATATAACTCGGTTTACTTTGCGGGTCTAAAAATAACTATTAAAAACATAGTTTGACTATAAAGAATATAAAAACTTTAAAATGATATTTTTTTAATATTAATATAATAATATATTAGATTGATTTGAATCAATTTAGGTTAACATATTAAATATACGACATAGGTTATGAAATTATGATAACCCTATAAAAAAAATCAAAGTAAATTAAGAAGCCTAATTCTCGATCAATCAAATGTTAAAAGGATGTAATTTAAAAAAAATCAATTTAAAAAGGATCTAAAAAAGCTACTTAAGTTAATCTATCAAACCCATGACCCAAATCATAAGACCAAGATAACTCTATGGAAAACAAATCAAAACAAATTATAAATCCTAATCCCTAATCAACCTAATAATGAAGGATAAAATTTAAAAAAATTAAAAAATAAAAAACAATCTAAGTCAATCTGCTAAACTCATGACCTAAGTTATTAAACCAATATAACCTCATAGAAAGAAAAACATATGAGCTAATTTAACTCGGGTGAACCTTTTAAATCCACAACTTTTGTTATAAGACTAAGATAACTCCATAGAGAGCAAATTAAGATAAATTATGAAGTTCAATTCTCAATTATCTCTATTGGACTCAATGTTAAATAATGAAACTTGTAAAAAAATTAATTAAAAAAATAATACACAAAATGAGTCAAATCAACCCGGGTTAATCCATTAATCACTATCTTCGAGTCATAAGACTAGGATAACCTAATAAAAAACAAAACAAAACAAATCATGAAGTCTAATTTTGAATCACACACAATATTAAATGATGAATTTGGGAAAAAAATCAATTAAAAAAGGAATAAAAAAATAAGTCAATTGGGTTAACTCGCCAAACCCGTAACCCGAGTCATGAGATGGGGTCAACCCAATAAAAATCAAATACATTGTTGAAGGACTAGTGATTTGAGTCATGTGATTGATATAACCTTTAGAAAAAATAATAATAAAAAGATAACTCAATTTAACTAGGGTTACAACATCAAAACCCGTAATCTTGGTTGTGAGACTAAACTATCATCATAGAAAACAAATCAAAATAGATTAAAAAAATAACACAAAAAATTACTCTCGTTAAATATTATTTCAGCTCAATTCCTAATTGATCCAATGTTGAATGATAAAATTAAAAAAAAAACTTAAAAATGACACAAAAAACAACTAGAGTTAAGTCGTTAAGCATTATTTCTAGGTCATGAGGCTGAAATAACATAATAAAAAGTAAACAAAATAAATCATGATGTCTAATTTTCAATCAACTATATATTACTTAAAAACAACACAAAAAACAACTTCAGTTAACTTGTTAAACATTATTTCTGGGTCATGAGGTTGAAATAACATAATAAAAAGTAAACAAAATAAATCATGATATCTAAATCAACTAAATATTACTTAAAAATAACACATTATTTCCAGGTCATAAGACTGAAATAACATAATAAAAGGTAAAAACAATAAATTATGATATGTAATTCCCAATCAATCAAATACTAAAGAATAAAATCGGAAAAAATGCTAATTAAGAAAAGGAGAAAAAACCCTTAATTAACCGGGTTAACCCGGTAAAATCATGATCGATATTATGAAAGTGTGATAACTTATTAAAAAATAAATATGATATTAGAGGATGAAATAAAAAAAATATTGATTGAAAAAAATATCAAAGCACTATTGAAATATATAGTGTTTTGTGAGAAGAGTTACAATAAAACCCCTTCATCTTTTATTTTATAGTTAATGTTAGATTTTTAGGTGTTATCATTGCATGCCTTTGTATCTTTTTACTGTATTGTGTTAGTTTAATATGTTCTGTAGCCAATTAGTTGATTACATGTAACATTATTATATTCATGTAAATACATATTTATTATTAATAAAGAATTAATTTATTTTTAATATTCATATAATGTTAGATTAATGAATCTAATACTTGATTTATGAATCTAAAGTAAAGATAAAGTTCATGGGATAAAAATGCTTTGCAAAGAAAATTAAAAAGTTGTTATAATTATAAGATTCCTATTGTATCAAAATATTATTTTTAAAATGTTCTTAGTTGATGCTCTCTTAAACACTTATCATTTATTAGAGTTGTAGAGACTGATACATATTATGTTATTTTCTTTAAGAAAAGAAGCAATTGTTCTTATAAGTTAAAGATATAAGGGATGCTTTGAAATAATATGTAGATGCTTGTTATAAAACATGTACACTAAACTGACCCGCATAAGAATTCCATATGGAGAGATCATCTAAATTTATAGAAAGGCTCACGTGATGGTTGTGTAAGTGATCCTTGGACTTGAGATTATTAAGTTATCATATGTAGAAAATGCTATGCTTTGATCTTGTTACATGTTATCTTAATTGAAGTAATAAAAAGGTAAATACTGAGTATATCATGAACTATATGAAACTACTTAAGTGATCAAGAGAAAACATTTAATCTGTTCTCATATAATTTTGACTGAGAAATCTTTGGTAAAAGTGCAATGAGATTTAAAAAGAGTTTCAAATCTTATTCAAATGATTAATAATTATTATATAGAAAATAAATATGATTTAACTTAATAGATATATTCAATGCTTTAATGTTAAATCAAAGCATTATTGATGGAAGAATATTAATTACATTGAGAAACTAATCACTGAAAAGTTAAGTCAAACCACTAATGAATTTTTTAATATTTGTAGGATCATGATATTATATGACGATGCACCTAAATTTGAAATATAAATTAATCAATTATTGAATTAATAATAAATTAAATTATTTAATTTATTTAATTATAATTATAATTTATATTTGATCAATATATTAGAAACGTTAAGGGTTACACATATTAAGCACCATTGGTGAAACACTAAACTGGAATGATTTAATTAAGTATGACTTGATTAAAATACATTTTAGAAATTAAGGACAAAAGTATAATTAATACATGAAATTATATCTAGACCTAGCAAAATCAAGAAAGAACTTGATTGAATTAATTTTTAAAATTATCCTAAATTAATATATGAATATTATTCAAGGGGAAAATTGATATTTAGCTAATTTATAGGGTTTTTCAGATTTATCTATAAATAGTAAGTTTATAAGGTTTTTCAGATTTATCTATAAATAGTAAGTTATTCCTCTTATTTTTGGATGATTATTTGTTAGACAGAAAAACTACGTAAGTTACAGAATAAAAAGGTAACACTTTAGGCATAACATTTTATCTCTTTTAAATTGAGATTTATGAGTTTTTTACTAGTGGTTCTTGTAGATTACTATTTGAGGCTAATTGAACAACTTGTGGTTTGAGAGAACCTAACTTCTAAAGAATTATTCAAAACTGATGAAAATCAGATTTTTAGGTAATAAATTGATATGACTAAAAGATTGATATCTTCTCCCTAGTACATTAGTGTCGAAGTAATAAATAACCCAGCAAAACCGGGTCAAATCATAGGGAGGTTAATTGTATAAATTATAAACAACAACAACAACAACAACAATAAAGTTGATGAGAACTCTGAGATGGAAGATTAACTTAAGGATTAAACAATAATAATAATAAATATCAAGGTTAGAGGATCCACTAATAGTATCTCAAACAAGCATAATATAAACTCTTATTATTCAATTAGAAACCACACACATAAGAGGTTTCAATCAGATTATTAATTGTTAACATAATTACATTAGTTATCTTATTCAATTAATGCTAATACTTATAAATCTCATCAGACATTTATGATTATAACTTATGTTAACAACATATCAAGTTCCTTTCATAGCTCAGGTTTTAGTTATATCATACAATATGGGCTATGAAAATGCCAAGCATTTGTTGTACCAAGTGTTATACAACATAAATCTAGATTAGTCATTTAACAAACAAAGTATTAAAGAGTGAACAAGATAACAAATACAAAATATGTTATTATCAATCATTAAAGTCTATATTGAGTTTACATCATACTTATTCTTACACTATTAGTGTAACCCTTTTCACTTTGATATAATAAACAGAGTTAAACATAATGAAAGAAAGAAAAAAAATAAACAAAATAAGAATATAAATAAGATAAAAGTTAACTAAGTAAATGAAAGGAAATGAAAGGCATAAACTTGATATTAATGAAAGCAAAACATAAGCAATTCAAAAAATACAAAGAGAGGAAGCAAGAGCATGATCTTGATCTGGAAACCAAGATGCCTAAATGCATGGCAAATGCCTCCTTTTATAGGCCAAAATTGGGAACTATTGACTTGATGACTAATTGATGAGTGTGTGACTAACTCTTGA